TGAATGAGGCACTAGGGGCTAAGATAGAATGGCCCATTTCCAGTAAAAAGAGTCTTTGGTTCTCAGCACTCACTGTATGAAACAGCACAATTAATTTGCTATTTTACTCTAGTATTCTGTGCACAGAGTATCTTTATATAATACCGGATTATGTGAGAGCATGGTAATGTCGGTCGAGCCTACCTCTTTGTACTGCAACCACAATGTAGCTGCAACGTGGCTCTTCAACGTGTGTGTAATAACCGTACACAAACGCTACATTATGAATATTTGACTTAACGTCTACTTGACTAGAATAGTCTATAGTCTATAGATAAGTCTGATCGACTGGGAAAGGCCCACACTCGCACAGAAACCAACATATAATAGCAGCATAATGCTGCTATGTTTCTTGGGGTGACCCCCAGAGATCCTTTTTACCGGAATCGACGGATTCCGCCTCAGTTCTTTCTGATGCCAACCTATTCTGCATTTGATTTTTAATAAATGCAGGTTATGCGTCACAAAATTCATTTATCATCAGGTGAACTATGCGGCCATTCATTCCCTATCTTTGATTCTGTAAAAAACAACAACTGAATACTCTAGGTTTTAACTACCCTATATCATCGAAGGTGTTGAAGAGGCGACAGAGGAAATCTAAAACAAAATACGGTTAGCAGAATGTTCCCGACGACAATTCAATTTTAATAAACAGAAGCTGTGATTGCCAACCGGTCGTTGGCAGATTATATTCATCGAATAACCTAAGATGTTTTTAAAGTTATAGATACGTCATACTCGCTCTAGAATGGCAATACGAAAGGCAGGTAATTGCCAGACTCGCATTCAGTCGGCCACGCTCTCGCGTCGCAGATATACTTTGCTATAGCGCGTAAATTTCGAGCTATCTGCAAGCCTTCCTGTGTTTTTAGATGGTGCACAAATTACACGGCAACTGGTGATATATATTATATCAATCATTATAAAAAATTATTATAAATAAAGACAGTACTACATATAAAATGTGCCTATATATTGAAGGTTTGTAACCCCTGGTTAAACGACCGAAAGATCATTGTCGGTTTTTCTCAATCGATTTGGCACATACTATAATATTGTATATTCACCTTTTCCTAACGATAGGTATCATTTGTCTCCCGTGTGGAGTTGCCAGTACTCCCATCGGGCGCGTCCCCTGGTGGCGGATAGGGGAAAGCCACCCAGATATGGGTGGTTGCGGGAAACCGCCGCGGACCAATACTGGCCAGGTATAGGCATACTCGTGGTTCCATCAGGACCAGAAATGGACGGGGCTCAATACCCTAAGAGACGAGCCTTCACAGGCTCGTCGTTGCTCCCGGTATCGCTCTTTGATTAGAGCGTACACGGGATGTAACACACGCGGCAATGCGCCAAGTGCACCAATGCTGCTCACTAGGGATCGGGGGCCCCAGCAGGGCCGCGAGGAAGAAAACCTCTTGAAAAATAACGTCTAATGAGGGGCGTCTGATGGCTCGTCCACATCACTCACATCGATCCCATCGGAAGGGGGAAGAAAGCGTAAGGCCAAGCCCCCAAGTGCTGCGGTTGTGGTCGCTAAATTTGCGGCAGTGTCAGCCACAGCCTCCTAAGAAGAGACTACCACAGGCATGGAAACAGAAGAGGATCTTTTCGACCCTCCATAACGCCCACTAATACCAGGGCAAAGAAAAGTCTGCCCGACCTAGAGGAGTTGGCCCACGAAATGTCGACGCATAGTGACAGTGAGCTCGGCCAACAAATCGAAATAAATCTCCAGGCCGTTGAAAAGGTAGCAGACCGTTCTCGCGACCTAAAAGGCAATTTGGTCGTAATCGTAAGGGGAATAAGGCTAGCTGTGCGTAATATAAAATCAGCGGCCGAAGAACTTGCGTGAAGGACTACGACAAGCGACAACATCAAAAGGCTTGAAAAGGAAAACGCGGAATTGCGATCACAGCTGGCTTGCCTTGCGGCTACGACGGATAAATTAACGTAGGGTCCGGATTGTGGTGCGAAGGCGGACAAGTTGGCGGCTAAAATGCGTGAGGTTCTCTCTGACCTGAACGAGCGAATCAATCGGCCAATTAAAACGAGTGACGTTCGACTGACGGACCTTGACGACGCCGTCAGCACTTCGGCGATTGCGACGGCAATGGCTGAGGCAGGAGATTGTTCGGTGGATGATATAAAAGTCTGGGAAATCTGCCGAAATCCCACTAGCATGGGGAAATGCTGGGTGCAGTGCCCAGTCACTGCAGTCCGCAAGATTGCGGCTGTTGGGCGAGTACGCGTGGGTTGGGGGTCTGCTCGAGTTGAGTTACTGGAGTCCAGACCCATGCATTGTTTTCGGTGCCTAGAAAGGGGGCACGCTGTCAGCAAGTGCTCCGGTGATACAAATAGAGGCGCACGTTGTTATGCTTGTGGAGAGAACGGACACAGGGCAAAACAGTGCCCCCCCCCGAACGGGTTCCCGCCTTGTCGTGGCGGGGGGGCTTAGTAGCCGTGGCTTGTTCTCCCACGGTGAACAAAGAGGAACCCACGTGGCTGGCCCGAGGTGAAGGGCCGGCCTGCGGTGGGCCTTGGGGAGCCCACTTCGGATGTGTGTTGGTGGACTGCAGCGAGTGGGGACTCCGCACCCTCTACCGCTGCAGCCGAGGTGGAGTCGCGGAGGAAGAGGAGTGTTGGTATGGCGATGCGCCGCTCGCCCTATCCTCCGCGACTCAAACGGTGCCGCACCGTTGATGCGGTGGTGGTGGGGCTGCGGGGGGAGAGGATTGTCGGTATTGCGAGGCGCCGCTCTCCCTACCCTCCGCAGCCGAATCTTGGTTGGCGGCGGGGCCATAGACCAGATCCGTCGCTGGGGTCGGGAAGGCTAGTACTTCTAAGTGCTCGTTTTCCTGGCCCCATGGCCTTCGTGCATCAGATGCGGGGGTGTCTGTTGCACAAATGTAATTGGAGGCCGTGGAGGAAGGCGCGCCATGTGTTCTGGTGCGCCTTACTTGAGAAGGAGAACGGGGAGGAATATTCCTCTCCCGAGGAGGTGCTGCCATGGGGCGGCAGTCGCTGGTAGGGCCGCGGAAGTGTGCGAAAGCGTTCCCGTAGCCCTGCCAATATGCGACGAAGGTGGAACACCATGGGGTTTTAGTCGGTGCGAGTCCGACATAACCCGTCCTTGCCCCCCGCGAGGCGGGTATGCGTAGGCATTTCCCCATGTTAAAAAAAAAGGGCAAAACAGTGCACTGCTCCGGCACTCAAATGTCCTCGATGTTCTGATCTCGGGTGTTCTGCTGGCCACAGATTAGTGAAGTGGAAGCGAATAGGTTTCGAGGTACGATGACGCAAATTTGCGACCTATCGATGCCCAGAACCAGTTGCCCCAAGCGCAGAGCAGTGTACTGGTGGTCAACCCACCACCTCCCATGGCCCCACCGACCCTCAGGTCATACGGGCCGAATTGGGAGAGTTGCTCTTTCCCGCGCGCACTTTCTTGACTCCCTACAAATATTTATTCTTTCTTCCAGTTTAACGTCAGTCTCCCCCTTCTGGGGCTGACGGCACAATAACGCCTACGTCGTCGGCCTTCCTACCAGCATCCTATCCTGCCTTGTCCTGCGATCGTGCCACCTATGCGCAGACTCACGCAAGAACCCGTAGTTCACCCAATCGCTGACGAGATCCGTGTAGTAAATCGGTCCCTGAACCGTTCGAACCAACCCATCTAACGCTTACGTCGTTAGATGGTCGATTATACACTTAAAGAAAAAAATGATATAGAAAAAATGAAGAAAATACCTGAAAAACAAATTATACAAGAAGCTCCAGTAACATTGTTTTAACAGCATAATCAATATTGACAAGTTCCAAGAAAGAAGATTCCAAGAACAGAAAAGTTCTTAATCAAAATTCCTTCAAGAGAAGAATAAAGAACTTGAGAAAAAAAAGCGTACGAGGAAGTCCAGGCCCAACCACATCGGGGAACTAACAATATCTTCGAGTACCAGAGCAGCAGAAAGAAGTCAGGGGTGCAACGAGCGACTTGCCAAGTTCTGTAGCAGGTACAAGACGTCTCGAAAGCACCGAATGTAAGTTTAATTATATAATAATGGTGTCGCCTATTGTCAAATTATATTATTACTTACATAATATTATACACAGAACTAGGGAAAGAAAATTTTTAAATCATTAATTAAAAGGTAGGAAAAATATTATTACTATTAATAGAAAAATTCAAAATTATGTATTATACCGCAATAATTAATTGGTAAATAACTACTTAATAATGATAATAATAATATTTGTTTGCAACAATATGGTGTTTAAGTATAATTTAGTTCTACATATTCTACCATAGTAATGTGTAAATTTTTATGGACAAGTAACCATAACTATATACTATAAATATTTATCGAAATTTTAACAACATACATATAATTATTCAATATTTTTTTAATTGATATGGTAACTGTCTAATTAATTGTGTAACAGCGTCAGAGGAAATACCAACTTTAGATTATTATCAGTTACCCGGTTGACCGAGCTTTGCTTTTCGCTCGATTTTTTTTAATTCGTGTGTTTTGGAAATTATATTTAGATACAAATTACATACTGATGAAATATAAATAATATTTTTTGATCTTAGCGACATAACAGAAAAAACGGAACTGGTTATTTGAATAAAAAATCATGAGTGCAATTATTTTAATTTAAATTTTCGTGTTTTTAAAAAATACTAAAAAAAGGGCTCGAAAAAATAGATTTTCTCAAAAAAAGAAAGGAACATGAAAAAAAAATTAAAAAAAGTCGGTCGGCCGGTCTGGGCTCGTACCGGGGTTTTAAGATTCTGTGACAACCATTGATTTATATGTTACACTAGATAAGTAATTTCCGCGCCAAAGCGTTGTCACTTCACATAAGGCCACAGCCTTATACTCAGCGAACGTCGGTTCAGTGTTCAAGGTGACGCCGTCCGAGTTAAGCCGAACGATTCACAACAAAAAATGGGTAAATGCGTAGTGAAAGAATGCGTTTCAAGGTCACAAAAACATAATAAATCAAGCGGAATCACTTTCCATACGTAAGTTTTAATTTATATATTCATATTAACGTTTAAAACACTAAAAAAATTAAATAAAATATCGAATATTGCAATTTAGGTTCAATGTTGCCACTTTTCCGCCTTTGTGATTTTTCCACATTAATGGGAGACTGTATAATTTATGGAATAAGTTAATTTTGTTTTAAAATAAACAAGTAAAATTGATTGCTTAAAAATAAAAACTATGTTTCAACCTTTATACAAAATAATTATTCTTATTTTAGTTTATTCATGAATGGTCTATTAATTATATTTTATTATTTTATATTATATTAATAAATTTGCAGTGTACCTAAAGATGCAGCACGCCGTAAGAAGTGGGTGGAAATAATAAGGTTGTTAAGAAAGGAGACTGACTGGGTGCCTTCTAAATCTACTGTCATTTGTTCTAAGCACTTCCGGAATCAAGACATACTTGAACCAAAAAGCGATTGCGGCCGTGTTCATTTGTCTAACGAAGCAATTCCAATGATTGTAGTAAGTAAATGTTTAATAAGGTAGTTAATTCATATTGTCACAACATAGGTAATATTTGTCAAAAATACCTTTTCTTAAACTCAATATTCACTCATTCAAACACACACACACACACACACGTTGTGCACACGACTAATGCTTTTTCTCATTCCTTGATTTTCGTTTACTGCATGTTAGTTAATTGTTAACCAAATTTTATTGAAAGCACTGGTTTGTACAGGTACTGGTTTCTCACATATACAGTTATTACAACTAGTTTAGAAGCCAGGGTTCCATTTAAATTGTTAAAAGATTTGTGGCAAATAAATAATTTATTTATTTATTTAAAACTTTTATAGCAATGTGTAATGCAAACTAAATGTTTTTATCTTAGTTATCAGGTTAATCATAATGCTATTTTGACTACAATAATTAATGGATATTTTTCAGGACGAACCTCATTTTGAAAAGCCGGTAGAACTTTTAATAGAAGAAAATATGGATTTTGATGTTATGGAAACCGATGAAGAGATAGATGAAATAACTGAAACACCGCGAAAGCACAAAATGAGAAAAATAATTCACCGTTTGAAAATTGTATCCACACGAAGACTAAATAAAATAAAAAATATATCACAGAAAATTAAAAGACTAAAAACAAAAAATAAAAAGTTAAAAGATGTTATCAAAGAACTGAAAATAAAACGTATGTTGAGCGAAGAAGAGGAGATGCAGCTAAATTTGAATGGAGAAACCGTGCAATTGATGGAAGAATTTAAAAAATCCTTCGAACAGAAAAGAACTTTTAATAAATTTCCTTATGTGTTAAAGAAATTTGCATTAACATTAAACTTTTACTCCCCTGCTGCCTATAAATATGTTCGATCTGCATTCAGCAACGCATTACCGCATCCAAGAACACTAGTTAATTGGTATAGCAAAATTAACGGGGATCCTGGATTTACGTCAGAGGCTTTTAATGTTCTTAAGGTCAAAAGTGATAATTCTAAGTCCAAGATCATTTGTAATTTAGTTATCGATGAAATGGCTATCCGTCAACAAAAAATTTTCGATGGAAAGAAGCATGTTGGGTTTGTTGATTATGGATTAGATGACACAAACGATACACAAAATCTAGCATCCTCCGCATTGGTTCTACTTCTCGTATGTTTGAATCAAATATGGAAGATACCTATTGGATATTTTTTTACTTATGGGCTATCTTCAGTCAAACTTGCAAATATAATAAATTTGGCACTGACAAAATGCGCAGAAATTAACGTAGAAGTAGCGTCAGTAACATGTGATGGCAGTCAGACCAATATTGCTGCAATGCGAGTTTTAGGATATAACCTAAACGACGCAAATAACTTGAAAACTACTTTCAAACATCCTACAACAGGAAACGATGTGGTGCTATTGTTAGACGCTTGTCACATGCTCAAACTAGTGAGAAACAGTTTTCAATCAAAGAAAATATTTTTAAACAAAAATAATGACAAGATAGAATGGAAGTATGTAAAACGTTTACAGGAAATTCAAGAAATTGAAGGGCTTAGAACAGGCAACAAATTAACCAACCGCCATATTAATTTTCGAAATCAAATCATGAAGGTTAAGCTGGCATCACAGCTGCTAAGTAATAGTGTGGCTCAGTCTCTTCATTTGGCTAAGGACTTGTCTTCTGAATTTTCAAAAAGTGAATCCACTGCGGAATTTATTAAAATACACAATGATGTCTTTGATGTATTAAATTCCAAGGGAGACCCCCAAGCTTACGGCTATAAGAAAAGTTTCAAACCCGAAACAAAAAATGATATATACGCATTGATTGAAAAATATAAAGAGTATGTTACGAACCTAAGTGTAGAAGTGACAACAAAAAAAACAATTAAGCGAAAGGGTCAGATACACAAAATAATTATTAAAAAAAATATGAAAAAAGTATTAGATTGTAAATTTAAAACGGGATTTTTGGGTTTTCTAATTTGTCTGGAAAGTTTAAAAGTATTGTATGCAAGGTTGATTGAGACTAACGTAATGAAATATATCGCAACATATAGACTTTCACAAGATCATCTAGAATTATTTTTTGGTTGTATCCGGCAAAAAGGCGGTTACAATAACAATCCTAATGTTGTGCAGTTTAAATCAGCCTACAAAAAATTATTAAACCATCTTGAATTAAAAAACAGTTTTAGAGGCAACTGTGTGCCCCTTGAAAAAATTAATGTCTTATGTTCTACAACATCTACAATTGATAAGGACCATATAGAAGAAATCAACAAGTCTTCCTTTGATCGTCGCCATGACGACATTGACGAGGAAAAACCACAAACCATAAAGAATAATCAAAATGAAACAGATTTAGAAAAAGAATGGGTCGTGCTACAAACGAATGATAACATTTTTACAAACATAACAAAACAAGTCATTGGATATATTTCCGGCTATATTGTTGACAAAGTTGGTCAAAATCTTAAATGTGAAATATGCATCAAAGCTTTACTAGCTACAGAACTGGAGTGGTTTCATAAGCTAATTAATATAAAAGATAAAGGAGGTTTATGTTATCCATCAAAACATGCGTTTGAAATATGCATGAGTTGTGAAAGCACTATAAGACATGCCATAAAACTTTCCGAAACTAAGTCTTTGTCTACTAAATTTGGTCTTATGACATTAGCTACAAAAACATTAAAAGTGCTTCAAGGAAATATATTATTAAAAGAATTTGCAATACACCCGGGGAATCATTTATCTTCAATACAAGTTGATCATTCCCTTTTATTGATTAATGCCATTATTTATAAGTACTTAAAAATAAGATTGTACCACGAAAGTAAATTATACACTCAAATAAACACACAAAAAAGAATCCAAAAGGCAATTATATAACAAACTGATGCTTCATAGCGGAGTTTGAGAGCATGGACTATTATGAATATTTAAGCGGATTAGTATTACAGATTAAAACCATTTATATTATCTTACAAATAGACTTCCGCAGAGTCACGCCTGAATCCATTAACTATCCTCAGTATTGTTGCAAAAAAAATATAAAAACTTTTTAAAGTTGTTAAGTAGTTTAGAAATTCTATAAACAAGAAAATCAACGAAATTTATTGATAACCAAAGTTTTTGTAGCTAATGTCATGAGACTAAATTTAAGAGACAAAAACTTGGTGATGATTTCACAACTTATGCATATTCAACACAGATCTCGCTTAAGAAACCTAAAATTGTTTTTTTTTATTTGCTTTATTTTTTTGTTTGATTTATTAGTACAATAAAAATAATATATAAAAACATATTTTATTTCATTACTTATGCTTACTTCTGTTCATCTAATAAGAAAATATACAAATTTAAAATAAAAACAATTTACTGCAACTTTAAAAAAAAACTCCTTTATATTGCTCATTTTGGGTAAAATTTCATAAAGTATGCAACACCAACCCGCCACTGCATGTTTGTGTGTCTATCTTTATCTAATCTTAGGGACGATATTGTTTTCCGCGACTTGTGTAAGTGAGACAGATATATGTTTACTTAAAAATTTTAATGATTTCAAAGCTACGTCGTCGCATTTGGATAGTGGTTACACTTTGTTCGACGCGCGGCAATGTGGTTTGCTCCTCTAGTCTTGTATAACTCAATGGTGACAACCATTATACCAATTAAGCTATTTTATAATCACTGACAGATACAACAGATTTGAATATCTGTAATAAAGACCAAAGAGGCGATATTAAGGATCAAAGTGGTCAGTACGACAAAACGCTAATTTCATACGTAAGGACCCAATATAACGTTAAAATATAGTTTATATACTCGTAACACTTGGAAATTATATTTTTTCCAAAGTATTGTGTTAGCTTTTCATTAAACATCAATATTATATAAATAAGAGTCTAAAAAACTTAAACAACACGCATTGAGCCCGATAATTGTGTTATTTAATCCTGGTGATCCTGATCAGGATATTAGGATAAAGTTAATTAATTATAGTATTATCATTGGTCCTTGACACGTGTGCAAATGTTTACGTCAATGGCCCCCTAAAGGTGTGTAAATTACAATAAAAGATTCCGTTATATGGACAGGTACACGCGACGCTAATAAAAGCGTATTAATAATAAATAATCAAAGCTAACGAAACGTAAGTACTCTTTCTTCATAGAAATACCTCGTCATGGTCCATTTGTTTGCGCATGGGTTTGCGCTAAATAATTTTATTGTAATCATGCGGGCGGAATTCTATTCAACTGAAATTCCTATCTGTTGACAATAATCTGCGGCTAGTATTTTCACATATTATAAGTAGTGTATTATTATAAAGGGGTATTTATAGAGTATTCTCATATTTGTGCTGAATAAATATATTAAAGAAAATTATAAATAACTGACTGCGTACCCTTAATGCGCAAACGTAACACTCATCTTGGAAACTATGTACTCCGCCCAGAAGAAGTGCAGCAGTAAAAAGTAAGCAAATCCTTCTATTCATTGAAGACATAGAAGGCTTGACAGTGAACTATAGCCATAGCAGCGATCACAAAAGATCTTTTAGGTCGCAGTGATACTGGTTTCTTTCCCTAGACCTTCATAGCTGCTTGTACATAATTAAAAAAAAAACATTATTTTAAAACATAAATTTTATCGTTTTACCTGTGGTATTGCTGTGTAGTGCGGCGTAAGAAAATACTCCAGTATTTTATTAGTACTAGCTTTTTACCCGCAGCTTCGCTCGCGTGGGCTTGAATAAACATTGATATACTATTTCGTACTAAAATTAGCAAAACTAGTTCACTTGTAGAGATACGTCGGTATCTGTGTCTATATTGGCAATATTGTTACGAGCTTGAGGTTCGTAACAATAAAAATTGCCGATAGAAATACCTAAATTAACACTTTAATTTTCTTTACACTAATTAAAACTTAAAACACTAAAAATTAATCACACTGATTCACTTTATTCCGCTCCGAAGCTTCGCTTGTCTCGCCAAATTCAATACTTCCCCGATCGCGTATTGCAGCGCCTTTATATAGGACTCTTCCACGAAAACATCCAGAATATTCCAGAATATTCGAGTAAATACGCGCGCCAACCGACCAAGCGCAGAAAGTTCGAGAGTCAGCTTCCAGAAGCTTAGTTCTTCGTTTCGACAACAGATGGCGCTGTCGGTTGAAAGATTAGTGATGTCATTTTCTGGAAAGCTCTCCCCTCGCTCCGTTAGCCGACACTAGATGGCGCTAGTGCCAGATGTCAACTTAGCCGCGTAACAATATTATCGGCTACAGAAACACAAGTTAGTTGATGAGAATCGCATAAATATCATACGTCAAGCAAAACTTTTTTTTATATCGGGCTTCCGATTTGTCTTTATTTACGGAAAATTGTCCGGGATCGGAAATGCGTTATTCACATAATATTCATTATTAAAGTTGATATAGTCTTGATGAAATAAGGTTTAATTTCACGGTCTTTATTAATATTGGTCCTATTGAACATTGATTAGCACCACATACCAGCATTTTTTACGTTCGAGTAGACTTCAAAATTTCATAAATGTAATTCTATTCACGGAGAACGT